TCTGAATTGAATCGCACCTAGAGATATCTATCACTTCCTAGAACTCCAACCTATAGAGACCTTGAATTTCAACTAAGTTTTTCCAATATTGAGCTCATACTCTTTGATTTTAGAAGGTCCAGCCTCTGAATTGAAGGCGCAGTTAGCGATACATTCCACTTCCAAGGACGCCAACCTATCGAGACCTTGAATTTCAACCAAGTTTTCGCAATGTTGAGCCATGAGTACCTTTAGACCCTCCAATTTTGAAAGGTCCAGCCACTTCATTGAAGCGCACTTAGAGATATCTAGCACTTTCAAGAACTCAAGCTTATTGAGGCCTTGAATTACAACTAAATTTTTGCAACAATCAACCTTTAATTCCTTCAGACCCTTGGATTTTGTAAGGTCGAGCCTTTTAATTGAATTGCAACGTGTGATAGTCAATCCTTCCAAATATTTCAATTTGTCAAGACCTTGAATTGCAGGTAAATTAGGGCAAAAATCGACATCTAATGTCCTCAGATAATTCAATTGTGAAACGTCCAGTGTTTCCATAAGTTTGCACCGAGAGATTATCAAGGATTCCAACTCGAAGGGAATGTTTAGGGATTTTTCTAAAAGTGTTGCTGGATGCTCCCAGATTAACTCGAGAAATTTGCCACCAAGTTGTAGTTCCTTGAGACGGGTTAGGTTGGAAAGTGAAGGAAATCTGCGATTTTGATGGCCGAAGTACAAATGTGTTAAGCTGGAAGGAAGCACCGATGGCAATTGGAGATTCTGGCAATCCATCAAATCAAGGCGTTGCAAGGAAGAAAGATTACGGATGCTTTCTGGCATTTCCCCTTTTAGACATGGGCACTGTGAAGCATTTAATTCTCGGAGCTTTCTCAGTTTTCCAATATCTTTGGGTAATTCTTTTATCTGAGTTACACTAATATTCAGAATTTCTAGGTTTTGCAAAGCCCCTATGCTGTCTGGTAATTCTTTTATTCCACTGTAATTCAAAACCAGTTGCTCCAGTGCTTCTAATTTTCCCACTTCTGCTGGCAGCCCCTTGAGCGACCAACATGCCCTCAAGTCCAAGCGTACCAGACTCTTCATGTTTCCTATGCTGTCTGGTAGTGAAGAAATGTCAGAACAATATGCTAGAAAGAGTTGCTCCAGTGCTTCCAATTTACCAACTTCTGCTGGCAGTTCCTGGAGCCCACGACATTTCGTCAAATCCAAGCATACCAGACTCTTCATGTTTCCAATCGAAGAGTCAATTTGCTTTATTCCCCGACAATGTGCAAGGATCAGAACCTCTAAATTCTCGAAAGCTGAGAGGAAGGAAGTTTTTTCTAAATATCCACAGTCTCTAAGGTTGAGATATTTTAGCTTCTTCGCCATCTGATAAAAAATATTATAATTTTCGAGAGGTTAGCCCAGAGTGATTATGATTCAAAAGAAAAGAAAAAATAGACTTGTTCTTCCATCTTACCATGAAAGAACTCCATCCTCGCCATTCATCGGATATCTTGCTTGCCAATAAATTGAGTACAACTAATTCCTTTGGATGAAAATTCTTTGCTTCAAAAGTCGAGGGACATCTCTGCCATTGAAGCCATTTTAACTTCTTAATTGAGTTTTTAAAATCTCCACTAAAATGTGCCCCACTCGTGCGAAGGAACCTTAGATTCCTTAACTTATTGAATAGTTTGCCTGTGAGGATATCACCACCTTGGTCAGCTGTTTTGCCGAGGCCTTCTGAGCTGTCTTTCCTAAGACAAATGGCCTCAATCTTTTTTGTTCCCTATAGATAAGAATCAATGTTCATCAACACTATTAATATTTATATCCAATTACAATAATCTAATATCATTTGTTCATATCTCTATCAACATGCATCGATGTCTTTTAGAGATTAGCAAAGTCAAGATATAATTCCTTCCTTGGCCAATAAACTGTATTTACAAAGGCTAACAAAGTGAAGGATGTTAACTTTGATTTTGAAATTGGTCCATAAGTACTTGGATCTTAATAAAATTTATGTTCTCTTTCTTCGTGTTTTATTTTATTATGAATAATAGTTTATAGTTTCTTTTTTTTTGGCTAGAAAAAAAAACGTAATTTCACACTTCGATCTAATGGCTCACATAGGGTCAAACTTAACGATTTGTTAATCACTCTTCTTTCCTGTAATGTAGCTTCATTACTATACTAGCTAGGACGCACATGCAATACGCGGTATTTAAGTAAATTACAACGTGCAAAATCAAAAAGTTGATATGATCAAATAGAAATAGATTTTCTCTTTCTGTAATTCAAATTAGATGTCCAAATGAACTCCAATCACGTAGAGACATAGTCATTGTAATAATTGTGACAATTGGGAAATACAAACTGTTCTTGACATACAGAAAATTCAACCTAAGAAAGTCCTTTTCTTTTCCGCTTTTTATTATGTATAATTTTCGTGTATCTTACTCGATTGTGCTACTTACGGTTAATAGAAAAAATGACATATACTGGTTTTTGTTTTTTCCATTGGATTCATAACTAATTATGAGTAACTAAACTTGTGATAGTAGTTATATTAATATCCTATGTGATTTTTATTTTATGAAAAGTAACTTGAAATATAAATTATATTTATGCTCTCTATAACTTATTATTGTAGCATAAATTATCACTTAATTATAGATTACAATCTGATATACTATAAATCAACCATAATTTTAAATAATTGAAATTTCCAAGTATGATAAACAATCCTTATTTTGTTTTAATTTAAAATAATTAATTATTAAAAATGTAAAGTCATTTCTGAATTATGAAAATTGAAGTTATTCTTGGCTACATGGAATAGCTATTAATTCCTTGGCCCCCTAGGAATAGCTATTCCTGATTTTGAGAGAGTAGGTATTTCATGAATAGCTATTTCTAACCTATTTTTTGAATCCAACGAACGAATAATTGCTTCATCAGAATGAACTAGAAATCTAATAGCTATTGCTGCGAATCAAATGTGTAGCAATCTCTCGGTGAGAAAAATCACTTATGCATAAGAAGTTAAGAAATAATACAGAAAATTCATGAATTTTTAAATATACGTCAGTTTCTCCGAACCAGAACGTTTCTTATGGTACTTCACAACGTTGTGCAAGACTTCATGGATGCTTAGAGGAGAATGACATGTTCAGTGGAGAAGGAATTAGATTTCAACAGCTAAAAGGAATCCAAAAGAAGAGTAGTTAAACAAATGGAAGCAACCTCCGAGAGAAGTAATCATACTCAAATTATTTATTTCCCTGATAAACCTCCCTCTCAGACTATCAAGAAATCCTATCGGTCATCAAAACTCGTTGTTTTCAAGTGTGTAGCTTTTTCATCTTCAACAATCGACAGAGTTTGAGTATACTCGTGGCCAAATTCCAAAAACAAGCCTAGCCTTTTGTTTTTGGGACAAAAGCAATACAATCCTTCAAACTCTAAAGAAAAAAAAAACCTAACCGGGACAAAAATAATACAACCTTCCGAACGTACCAAAAAAAAAGCTCAACCTTTTATCTTGGGACAAAACGGACTCCCATTACAAGTTCCGTCCATTATTATCATTAAATCATCACAAATACCCTACATGGCTCATTGTGCTGACACACAGCGAGCCACACCAACCAACACAATAAACGGCATCGTTTTTATTTATTTATAATCTTTGTCAACAAACTTAGGCTGCGTTTGGTCGACCGGATAAAAGCCAGGATGGGATATGTTTTATCCTATCCTGTATTTGATGGTGGTCGAGGATAGGATAAGGTCGGATATAGACCGGATAAAAAAATCCGAGGGGGGGTGGGATAGACCTGGATAGGATTTCTAATGCCTATTTTTCCAGAAACCCTACGCTCCACTCGCCGTCATCTTCATCCCCACACCTTGTACGCTTTCACCAAAAAAATTTCTCAGCTTTTTGTCCTTCACCAACTCCTCCGGACCCGTGAATAGCAAAAAAAAAAAATTATCCTATCCGACTTTAAATCCGTAGTCCACCAAACAGTGGATAGGATATGAAGAAATCCCAGGATTTCTTATCTTATCCTATCCAGTCCTATCCTGTTTAAAAATCCGAACAACCAAACGCAGCCTTAGTATATAATTTTTGTTACCACATTTTTAGCATTTGGTAAGTGTCGTTTGTGGTCATGATTAATGGGGTTCATTGGCATGTCAGCACCATGAGCCATGTAGGATGACGTGTAGCGACTTAAGGAGACAGAATTTGTAACACACATCATTTTTGTCCTTGAGCTTTTCTTCTTTTTAGAATTTTTGAGGTTGTATTATTTTTGTTCCTTGTTCAAAAGGTTGTGCCTCTTTTTTTTTTTTTTGCATTTGACTGTATACTCCCAAATATCCAAGGAGTGAGTTATGAATGTGTTTCAATTATGCTTTAAATGTCTTTCGTTTTCTTTATTTGTAAGTCGTCCTAGTGCTCATTCCATGCTTCGCACTTCACATTTTTTTTTATCAAAGTTGATTGTACTTTTTGATAACACATGAAGATAACTTTATATATTTTGATTAAATGTAGGAATAATCTTAAAAGAAGATCTTGTATCAGTTTTATCAAATAATGTACCTTTTCAGTTGTAAAAGTTAGTTATACCAATTTAGTTAGACAAAAAATATACAGCATACTTATTTTTCTTTTGGTTGGTTTAGTTTATTTTATGATGTGATACAAAAGACAGAATAAATTGACATCAGCTTTGACATTGCTAATATATCAATTGGCTCTTGAGGTTATAAATAGGTCGCATGTTGAAAACGAAACAAGTGCTAGTCTTTTGAGCAACAACTTTGAATCAAACTGAATGATGGATTCAAAGTAATAGAGTCCAAACTATGATTAATTTCACAAATACAATAAAATCACATACTTAATTATATACAAAATATAATTTTAGAGTATTTATCTCCGGGACATTTATGTGATAAAAATAAGACGTTTCTCTTTTTATGTGGAAAAAATAAGTCATTGCATGAAATACGCTAAAACGTTATGGATGTCTATATATGTTCCTGTTCTTGGTAAAAAAAGTAACTCCTAACCTAATATTAAATAAAATAAATATCCCTTCCATTTTCAATTAGGGTATAATGATTGATATTTCATGAAAAATGTGGGCACGGTTACTCCAATCGTATTAATTCTAACACCTACAGATTAGAATTCTATGGTTTATATATCCTAAGTAGTTATTGTTCACAGTAGCATAGTCAAGTTATTTGTTGCAAGTGTCAAGGACGTAACCCACTCAATTATATTAATTCAGATTTTTTCAATGTAGAATACCCCTTTTAAATTTCTAATAAATTTGAAAGTACCTCATTCTTGGAAAAAACTTCGTAATGTACACTTGAGTAAGATAAATCTCAGATAAGCTGCAATACTTACTAAGAGAGAGCAACCTCCTAATTTATAATCATAATCATGTAAATTGAATGACACGAGGAAAATAATATTAGATTCACTAGAGCAAGCACTAAGTAGAGCACCAACATCACTCTGACAATAAAACATGGACTAAGGGAGAAAAAGAAGAGAAACGGTTACCTCATCTTCCTCTAGCACTTTCAAGGCTTCCTTAGAGTCCCATAACTTGCTACGGTACCGAGGCTCATTCTCATTTTCCTCGCAAACGATCCATCTACCAAGATCTCTCAATTGGTCATGCATTTTAAGCATATGATCCTCTCCAACTTTTATTAATGACATAAATCTCAATACTTCAATTCCCTCCTTCGGGAAAAATTCACAGTCGTCCCACATGTAGAATGCGATTCTCTCATCAGTGCCAATGAGAAAACAAGCAATATCCAAAAATATTTGCTTTTGTCCTTTGTCTAATGCTTCATAACTTATCCTTAACTTTTCTTGCACTTTCCTATGAGGAACTTTTTTTAACTTCTCTATTGTACCTCCCCATTGTGTTGCCTTTTTTCCGCAAAAAAAGGAACCTAAAACCTCAAGAGATAAAGGAAGCCCTCCTGCTGTGAATAAAACTTCATTTGTGAGTTCCTTGAATTCACTTGGAGGAGCGTCCATTCGAAACGCATGTCTACTAAACAGAATCAAAGATTTATTCTTATCCAATTCCTTGTGTTCATGTTTGTAGTCCACATTCGCTTTGTCAAGAATATCCTCATTTCTGGTGGTAATAATGATCACACTTCCCGAAGAAAACCAATTGTGATTTCCAACCAAAGCCTTCAACTGATCATCATCATCCACATCATCAAAAATAATGAGGACTTTCTTACCTTTAAACTTAGATGAGAGGAAGCTGATCCCTTCATCCTTATTATAGACTTGATCTTTTTGCTTCAATATAGCAAAGATTAACTGATTCTGCAAGTACTCAAGGCCTTTACGTTTACATAGTTCCCTAATATCAGCAATGAAGCTACAATACTCAAATTGGTGGGAAAGTTTGTTGTAGATAGTTTTAGCAAGAGTTGTCTTACCAATGCCTCCCATTCCGTGAATGCCAACAAATAGGGTAACACTGGAATTTTTATCTACAAATTTCATAATCTCCTCCACATGACTATCAATTCCGACCACATTCTCAGGAATAACCAATTCAAACTCTTTCTTCAGCTCGCTCAACACCTTTTGGACAATTGATTTCACCAATTTTCCTTCATATCTGTCAAATGTGACAAGAGTTCAAATATGTGGCAACAGTAATTTTGTATTGTTTGTCTAATGATAGCATGATAATAAAATAAATCTGGGGATAATTGGAAAACTTAAAGAGTTGTTTTTGCCACACCTCCATTTACTATCTTATATGCTAAGATTAAAAGTGGGAAATGGTGATGGTTGCTTCTCATGGCGTGCCTCATTCCGTTATTACTATGATGTAATTAATTGAGCTAGACAAAATTTGAGGTATCACTAATGAATTGAATATAATATAAATTATCGATATGAATGTAATTTTAAACTTGTTGTTTGTTAAAGATATTAGGGATGATGTGGACGTAACATTGAAAGCTTTCTAGAGCATTTGAATAGGCAAAAATCCAATAAGCCAGCCCATATGAGAGTTCAGCCATCAATCAATAAAGAGTTCATAACTTTTAATAGAATTCAGCTCCTGAAAATCGTTCAGAGTGCTATATTATTACTACCTGAATACAATTGAGGGGATTTATCTTTATTTGCACAATTCTACACACTTACAAGTTTCTGCTCCTGTTATGAATTTAGTATCATTCTAGATTTGTATTCTTATCAATTTTCACTGCGTTATGGGATGATAACAGGTTGTGCTTTATTTTCCTTTTGAGTATCTATGTTCTATGACTATAATTGATCTAATATTTATTTGATTGGGAAGCAGAAGAATTATTTTTCCCCGAAAGAAGAACATTGCTTCAATTTATGCAGGAGTGTGAGATAGAAAGATGTGTTGAAGATAGGAAAATGGATTGAAAATTATTTAAACAAACATATAATACAGAAAATCGTTTTTCCTTTTCTTATATATGTCATCATTATATATAACCAGTGAAATGTTACTTTTATAAAAATAATTCCAATGGCAACTAATCAACGACATTAATGATTACAGATAAAAAAAACGACATTAGTGATTTGATAAATGTAACCTGAGAAGATAAAGAATTATGGTTTTGACAGTCAACATGTACGGCATATGATGTCATGAGCTTTAAATAGGAGCCACCGATAAGTTGTACTATTAATCTCAAATAAATATGTAATTAGAAAAGTTTGTGATGAAGATCAGTGCAGCTTATACTATAAATATGAAAAAAAAATGACACAATGTTCAGAAATCTTTGGATATAAAAGTAAAATATAATGTAGAACTTGTTATATTATTCAAGCGAATGGGATCCTAACAATTAAATCTATAATTGGATTGGTCAATATCCTTAAAGTAATTCTAAAGAGAAGAATAACTTATAGAACTCTTACTGCTTTTTCTTTATTAAACAAAATTAAAAGGAAGAAAATGAATCAGGTAGGAATCAGAGAAGTAATTCCCACACAAATTAAAAGAAAGTAGAGAATGTCTTGGTGAAAAAATGAAGTACCCTTTGGCTTCCCATGCTTTCAAGGAACAGACTTTAATGAGTGCCTGCTTCCATTTCTCCAAAGTCGTTGGGTCGAAATACTTCTCACGCGAATGAAATGCATCTCCAAAACTCCTTTTTTGATATCGCACGTCAGCTGGTTTCACTTTATAGAATATAGGCAACACTATAATTCCCGTGTTATCATTCTTGCACTCCATTATTTGAACCAATTCATCTAGGCACCATTTGCTCGAACCATAATTCACGGAGAGAATGGGAATCAGGATCTTACTGTTCTTGATGGCCGCCGAAAGATCTGGGCCGATCTCCTCGCCTTGGCGGAGCTCTTCATCGTCTCTGAAAGCACAAATTCCGGCATCGACGAGCCCGTTGTAGAGGTGATCAGCGAAGCCATCTCGAGTATCTGGTCCTCTAAAACTCAAGAACACCTCATAGTGATTTCCAGTCAGCGTGGTTTTAGTTTCTGTTGGAGACGAACTGGATCCTCCGGATCTAGCTCCCGTCGGTGCAATCAACGAACCAGATGTGCCAGTATTAGCATCTTCTACATTTTTACGCACACTAGCTTTCTTCTTATTGAGAATATAGAACGCGAGCCCAAGGAGAAGAATCGGTGCCACGAGCACGGCGAAGAAATGCCCAAAAATGGGATGATGCATTTTGTCTTTGCTCTGACTCTGCCCTTGATTTTTGCTTTCAAGTCTGACGGAGAAGAAAACCAGAATGCCTCTCAGGAAATACGAGATGCCTGCCTAGGAAGAAGACAATATGTGAGGAATAATGACGCAGAACAATGGAAAGAAAGATGACCAAAGGAAATAGACTAGTGCTGTTAAAATTTCAATACCCAAGTGTTGGAGAAGATGAAAAGTGGGGAGAGAGAGCGAGAGAGCTTCAAGTTGCAGAGCGGTTCTCACTTGCCAAATAAGAAAAAAAGTTAAGAGTTGGCCTGAACTGCACGTGACAAGCAATGAGTGCGGTCGCATGTTTCCAGAAAAAGTGGTCAAAATAGACAGCTTTAGTCCCTGTGCTTTGCACCGTTGAACTTTCCTTTTTTTTTTTTTGATTTCCACAAGAAAAAGGTATTTTGGTGTATATGTATATATATATATATAAAAGCTTTTGATCCCACTTGAAATTTTGCCCACTCACTTTGAGCCTGTTACATATTGTAGTATAAGATGGATAAACTCCATTTTACGATTGAAATGTTATATTATCAACAATCACTTATGCGAAAAAAAAATTGTCACAACATATGTTAAGGATCATAAGTAATATATATGTTTCTTTTTATTTCATTTGGTACCCGTCTCTGTCCTTAATTTCGTAAGGAAATTAAAATGGCTTTACTCTTTTGGTTTTACTTTATTCTTGAAAACATCAAAGAGCAACCGAAAGTATCACAGTAGCGACATTATGCATACATGGTAAGATTTTCTTGTTTATAGTGAAAGATGATGTAAGTTATGACCATAAATGTCGAAAAAAAGTATTTACTTGCAAGTCTTGGTCTAAATAGGAAAATGTTAGTTTTAGAAGTCTTAGCTTGAGGGGAAAAATTTTACATATAAAGTCTTTGGACAGAAACTCTAAATTGATCCATTTTACTTATTCATCGAATCTATGAAATGGACATCATAAAGTTGAAAGGTCGGGACACTTTCTGAGAAAATTACGATTCCATGACATTCTAATGCATAACTGAAAGTTCATATTCCCCATGATAATGTTGACAGTGTAGGACAATTTTAATAGCAAGCGGAAAGCTCAAGATTCTCTAGAATATTAGCTTAAAGAGATGGAAAATTCACTTTTTCTAAAAATGTTTGTTTTTTGTTTTGAAAAAAAAAAGAAATGAGAGTTGTCCAAATTTCCACTCTAGTATAATTATTCCCACCTATGAATGCTAGTACCCAATCATTTACTAAAACACATTTATAATTATTCCCACCTATGAATGCTAGTACCCAATCATTTAAAGCACATTTAAACCCATAGTTTTCAACTACTTATTTTTTTCCTACATCTGCCTTACTTTTTCTAACTATAAATTTCTTGTTGAAATTAGAAAAAATAAAGCTTAAATAGTCAAAGTAAATATGATTATTATTGTAGCTAACGAAGATGACTACTTTTCAAAATATATATTTCATGAGTACCTTAATTATAGTCATCACATATATACACACACATTGTCAATCTCACCGATGGATCCTCTTTTAAAGAATATAACTGTAATTTCATGAAGCAATAAATCAAGAACATAGTTCTCAAGCTCAATTCTCACCCTCTCAAACCCTCTAATCCACAATTTCCATGAGACAGCCCCAACTGGCATTTCTTCAAACAACGGAAGACGACGTAGCCGAAACAGTGCAATCCCGAAAGAGCAGATCTAAAGCAAATTAGGGACCAAAAACAAGGCAGCAAATGAGATCTAGGATTCAGGAAACCATGTTGGGGACAACGGCCGAGTCAACCACATGATGTGGGGGGAGACGACGTAGCCGAAACAGTGCAATCCCGAAAGAGCAGATCTAAAGCAAATTAGGGACCAAAAACAAGGCAGCAAATGAGATCTAGGATTCAGGAAACCACGTTGGGGACAACGGCCGAGTCAACCATGATGTGGGGGGACGAGGACGAGTTACCTTGTGATCTGACTCGGAGGCGAGAGCGGAGGAGAGCAGGAGGAGAGGGAAGAGAGAGAGGAGAGAGAGGGATCGGCGGATGGGAACCACGGCGGTCGCCGGTGAGAGTCTAACTTGAGGGTTGGAAGTCGAGGCGTTCTCGTTCTCTCTGTACCTGAGCTTCCGCATCAACAAAAGAGATTTACAGGTAGCTTGGGTTGGGTTAGGTAAAAATGTTGACCATTTAAAACCATTCAAGATCCGCATTTAATTGAGCTTTACAGCTCAAACCCATAATAACACATTCATTAATAATAGGTCAAACCACATCGGACCCATTTCATCAAAAATAGGTTTAAAAATAAGTCATCAGCCTATTTTGACACCTCTAATGGTAAGTTATCCCCATAAATGCCACCAAAACGTATCTCCTTGCAAGTCTTGGTCTAAATTAGAAAACAATAATTTTATAAGTCTTAGTTTGAGGGGGAAAATTTTGCATCTAAAGTCTTTGGATCTGAATTGATCCACTGTACTCACTCATCATATCTACGATATGGACATCCTCCCTCAATTTCTAATTTAAATTGATAAAGTTGAAAGTTCAGGACATTTTCCAAGAAAGTTAAGATTCCATGACATTTTAATACAAAAATGAAAGATTATACTCCCCATGATAGAGTTGAAAGTTCATCTTAAATGATAAGAATTTGTTAAAAATTAATGAATATAGCCATCTTAATATAACTAAATAAGATATTTTAACAAAAATAATAAACACAAATTTTATAAAATGGAAAAGGCCTCAATAACAAAAAGGTCAAATGACAAAGTTGGTCAGTTGTAATTAGGGGTGATCGGTTCCTGGTCCAGTCTGGTCCCACCCCGGAACCGGGAACCGGACCGGAGGGACCGATTCCCAATTTTCGGAACTGTAGACCGGACCGGAGGGACTTGGAACTGGACCGGACCGGACCCGGTCCGGTCCGATTCTCGGGCGGTCCAATGGAACCGGTCGAGAAGGAGGCAGGGAGGTTTGTGCTGGTTTCTCTTAAGGATCACTACGCGAAGAAGGCACTCACGGGAAGACTCAGAAAATTGACGAAGGAAAACGTGCACACAGAGAAGGCCTCCACTACTGCAATTCTCGCATTCAAAGAACGACTGGGACTGACATGGGGCTTTCTTCTCTCCTCTTCTCAACAAAGAGAGCTCGTATGTTTCACTAATGGAAACGCCAAAAAGAAAAGTCCAGTAACTTTTCTTCCTTTTGCAGGTTCGAGACCAACTCGTTGAAGGTGAATCCTCACCGCGAAGGCGTAATCTTCGCCGTGCCAAAGCAATGCGACCACGTTTGGACTCCCCACAGCAACGCCAAACCCCTCGCCTGCATATCGTTGCCGCTGTTAAACCCCCAATGACTTTGGCAATGTGACATTTCAAAAATAAAATAAATAAATAAAAACAATCGGTCCAGGCGGTCCGGTTCGGTCCGGTTCCTCCCTTGGAACAGGGAACTAGACCGCCCGAACAGCAGTTCCATTTTAAGGAACCGGGAACCGAACCAACACTCCCAGGAACCCGACCAAACCGACCGGTTCGATCCGGTCCAATCAGTCCATCTTACTCACCCTAATCGTTACGTATATATAAAGGATTGATTCCTGTAAAAATGACTGCTCACAAAGATATTTTGAAAGAAATTACGACAGAAAATGATGTACTCAGCTCGTAAAAGAAAATGATGAACCGAAATCTAAGGTAATTTTTTAAGAATATTTTTATTTATCAATCATTTTCTTGCATTAATTAACTATTTAAGATCGCATAATGAGTATCCAATTTTTGTTGTTTGAGCTTTTTTGTTTTTGGGAAAAAAACCACCAAAAACCCCAAACTTTATCACCTGTGACACATTTATCCCGAACTTTTTTTTGTGACACCAAAAACCCCAAACTTTGTTATTTGTGACACATTTACCCCAATGCATTTAGTCCATGGGCATTTTCGTCTTTTTTGCTTTTTCTTTTTTTTTTTCTTTTTTTCTTCCTTTCCGGCGAGGGCTGCCCTCGCCGGCGTCGGGCGAGGGCTGCCATTGCTCGACGCCGCGAGGGCCGCCCTCGCCGGATCTGGCGAGGGCCGCCCTCGCTCGACGCCGGCGAGGGCCCCCCTCGCCGGAAAGGAAAAAAAAAAGAAAAAGCAAAAAAGACGAAAATGCCCATGGACTAAATGCATTGGGGTATATGTGTCACAAATAGTAAAGTTTGGGGTTTTTTGTGTCACAAAAAAAAGTTCGGGGTAAATGTGTCACAGGTGGCAAAGTTTGGGGTTTTTGGTGGTTTTTTCCCTTTGTTTTTTGAGGCATTTTTCTTTCTACTCAATTGTTTTTGTTCACATTAGTATTTTATTTGTTACATTGTTTTATATATTATCGACAATCATTTATTCTGACATTTATATATCAGTTAATTTATTTTTCTCCATCTTCCGTATTTTCTCTCTTTTTTTATGGCAACCCGGGGTAAGTGACGGACTTCTTTTAAGATAAATGAGATGAAAATATACATTTACTCTTTAAAAACCATGTGTATTGCACAAACAAATGGAGAATATAACGGAGAGTTAACCGCAATAATAAAATGAAAAGCTCAAGGGAGTAATGGGTAAACAATCAAAAGTTTAGTGGCAAACGGTACTGCCCCCAAAATTAGGATCACTTTTGCAAAATTTTTCCACAAATCCATTCTGCGATGTTAGATTCCTGAAACGCTCGTAAGGAGATTAGGGTGTATTATTCGGGTACATTGGGAGTGCAAAAATATGAGGAACCCGAACTTATATATACTAATTCCAAACTCTCAAATTTTCCATTAATGTCACTCAGGAACCACAAAAAGGTAAAGTTCCATAATTTAGTGGGAGCCCAGGACAATTTGCGACCTAACATAACACTAACAGAAACGTTGCCAATTTAGAAAGAGGCACAGGAAGGCCCAATAGTGGCAATTTCTCGTCCTGTAACCTAAACTCGCGAGTCTGACTGTTCAACTTTTATAAGCTATCTGAAAGATTCTTTCCTCTGTCCCTGAGACGTTGGGCCAATTATCACTGATTGTATTGACCTCTTGGCTTTTTTTGAGAGTTTAAAATTGGTCATCTACACCCATG